TATACATACCAATGCAAAAATTATGACATCTTTATTTTTTGTTTCATGATTGCAGGGCAGAGTATGATGATTGGCTACCAAATCTGGCCAGCCTATTGCAACCAATACCATTTCCAAAAGAGTGAGTATGGATTTATTCACTATATTCCTTTTATCAATTATTATTCATGACGTCAAATATTCTAGGTCAAGGATATGCTATGTCCTTCAATAAATGTATGTAAAAAACCTTTCTTCTCTGATTCATAGTTAATATGCTAGTGATATTGGTTTGATATTTCTTTTGAAAATTGGATCTTGCTTTTCTGTGAGTTAATAAATTTTGGTTGAACAACATATTTTCCTGTTTATCATTAGTACAATATTGAATACTATTTGAATTTATTTATAAGTTAATTAAATAGATTGTGAGAGAAAAAAAACCCAGGGTTTTAGTATCTTGAATTGTTTGGCCTCTGCTCGCGGTGACACTCGATATGAATGCACTGTCAGTAAACATTCATATCATTTGGGTATTTGTGAGGTATATGAATGCTGCATTGATGCAAACTGTATTGCAGAGTGATTGGGATGCGTACATTGTATGCGGTAATGCAAATCATTACAGTAAGTGACAGTAAAAACAAGATTGATGCAATTCTAACATAGTATTGTATCCATTATAGTGGAATTAATTCGCCCAGGGCTTTTTAAGGAAAATTTAATACAATTGTACTGTCATACCACATCATGCATGTAATTTCTTATATACAAAGTATGCAAGATGGTGGAAAAAAAATGTCATTAAACTTTTCACCCACTTTTACTCATCCTAAATATCAGTATACTAATTATGTATCATTCAGGAGTATTGGGGGGGGGGTGTACTTATTGTGAAAGCAGCAAATTCTTCTGACTATTTTTTTTTATATCTGCTATATGAAGGTAGGGGACTTTTTTTATTTCAGATAGTCGCTTGATAACAGCTTGAATTTTGAATCACTATCATTAGATTTGATGTGATTCACATGCTGTGCAATGCTCTGTAATTGCATTGACTATTTAGTGTGAAAGATTAAATTGTAACCTACACTACAGATAGGATTCTATCTTTCATGAGTATTTGTGTGTAAAGTACTTGCACGTTTCCTTCTGACATGATGATAACCAGCTGACATATGTTAGGCATCATATAGATTAACTACCTTGCATTCACCTTTCCCTGGAGTTGATTTGGGTCATTGTAATAGCCAGCAGTCTGTGCTTGCACAATGTATTTATTATGTAAATGGTTTATTTAACAACATACGAGCATTGTTATTTACAGTTTATTACGCCTTTGTCAGATTTGTTCACCCATTGGTACTTGAAGATAACAAATTTCAAATTAACAACAACAAAAAACGGACAAAGGATAAATATTACGAAAAGACTTTTAAAATTACACATCTAGTATAATTTTTTTAGCATATCAATGAAGCCCCTATGTGTCACTTGTACATGCTAGTAATCGAGGGACTGTAAACATTTACTCCATATGGCCGCTTTCATAACATTTAAAATACGATATTCCAGGGACCTAAAAATAAATGAATAGGATGTTTGTTTTTATGTGTTCATTAATATAAGCTCCAAACTGCATCAGCATTCAGTCGTGATGGCTTTATGTCTGCATGATTATACCTTTGTAATCATAATCCCTAATTTGAATAGCCATTTCTCCCTCCCCCAGAATGAGTACAAATGAAACTAATGTTTAATCATGTATATAATAACCATTATTCCATATTTACAATGCTAGGACTTTGGTTAGCATTCAGTAATACATAGACTGATGATATGACTATTTAACTCTCACTTCACAAGAGTTGGGTTGGTTGGTCATTTTTTAGCTCTACTGTTATTGACAGAGTGGAACGCCCATCTGCCAACAATTACATTTTCAACTTCATCTTGGAAACTACCAGCTCAATAGCTTTGATAATTGGTATGTGGGTACCTTGGGTTGGACCTCTGTTAGATTTGTTCGTTTCGTTGATGATATCTTCAATTCTCTATTTTTAGTGAATATTTTTGTCATTTTTAGTAAAAAGTGCTATTTTCAACTTCTTTTAAAAACTTCCTGCTAAATCGCTTTCATACTTGGCATGTTGGTACCCTGAGTAGACCTTTATCAGTTTTGTTCATTTTAAATTTTCAGTGATTAGTTTTGTCATTTTTGGTGAAAAATACTATTTAAGACTTCTTCTTGAAACTACAAGCTCAGTTTCTTTGATACTTAATAAGTAGGGTTCATGGGTTGACTTCTATGAGATTTTTAACACGATAAGAATTGTAATTGCCATGGCAACAACAAAATAAACTATCATGGTAGTAATATAGCAAGAACATTATGGCAAGACTAATAACCATGGCAAGTAGTTAATATCTCATCATACAGAATGTTATCAACTTTGTTTTGAGAAAGACTTTCTGCATAGACATCAGAGCTATTTCCACTTGTATGTCGCTTGTTTTTGTTAGCTGAGACCAAATATAAGTTGCACGGTCACGATTTGGGAATCCTCTTTTTACATGTATACCCGCTTTACACACATTAAAGTATAAATACAGCCTACTAGTAATTTGTGCAGGTATGGTTTTTTTAGTGTGTTTATTAGACAATGCTTTGTACAAAGGGAAAGATAATGTCAGACGTGTGTATGACATTATAAGCCATTTATGAAAGTACTGGTTGTGGTAAATAATTGTAAACAGTACAGGATTCTTGCTGCGGCAGCAGATGTTGGACTTTTATTCTCTTCTGTGCTTTGATGGAAATCTCTCTTTGATGTATATTGATACCGTTTAGTTTAGCGGATAATGCAGTACTGTCATATGGCTTCATGGCATGTTTATATCAAAAGTGCAGACTTTGCAGTGTGTAATTGTTTACTATTATACACTATTGTATGCTCTCCATATAATAAGAACATCTCTTTTGTTTACCATTATGAACTTTTAGTCGCATTTCATAAAGTACCTGTATTCTATTTGTATTACCAGTATATTGTTGCCTTGACCTAAATCTTTGAAACTGTTCAAATAAACACATATGCATTATGAAAAACGATGTTTGATACTGAAATGAAATTTGAAATTGGTGAAATTTGCAGAAAATCAGAATATTTTAAATCAATTTTTGCTGGGAAAGAAGTGATTGTGAAAGTTAAGCCTGTGTTCTAACTATTCACTACTATAATTGTAGTATATTAACAAGGTGTGCTTTACTGTATATATTTATAGAAGTTCTAATCAAATGGTGTATATGTTTATTTTATAGGGCTTTAACACATGAAAGGTTCACTATGTAAGTACATGTTATATATAAGTATGTATGTATTCATCCATTCTATAAGGTGTCAGTTTTGGTTCTCTACTTTCAATAAATAAAAGTCCTTGTCATTCTGTGGGCATTTTTCTCCAACAAATTCAAACTGCATTTAAATCTCATTCAAGGATAGCCCTCTTACGGTAAACAATCAGCAAAGGCGCCATTCTCTTTGTATAAATAGATGTCATTCATTTCGACATTATAGTGCTTGTTATATAAACACAGTTGCATTGAATTGGATTTTGACATGTACTGCCACTATATGGTTAACTTTTAGTCGGGTCATATTTGACTGCCCAGTTATTTGAATGGCCAGGTATTTGTTGCTGTTCTCATCCTCGATTGCTGTGTGAATCTGTTCGGAAAGCATCCATGAATTGCATTGATCTATGTTGATAGTGAACTAAGTTGCTTGGTCTTTTGAATTTCTGTACTTTGCATAGACTAGCTATGACAGATGGAGTACATAGCATTCTGCTTTCATTACAGTATGCTTTAAAATTGGCTTGGTAAATTGTGATTCTAGTTTGAAAAATAACAACTGATCAATATGCTATGTCAATTGTATACACTTAGTATTCGATTTGAGAGCAATTCCTTATGACATTTACCATGTTTTAGAGCTCTTGAAATTGCTAAATATCTAAAAATAAATGAAGCCATGTATCAGCAGTACCCTGGACAACTCTAGGGCGTAGTCACATTCGATATGTAATAATTCAGTTGTCGTGACTGGAGATTTTATATTGACTTTAATAATTAATGCCGTAGTCTATATGAGAGCTTTAGATGACAGTTTTTGTGTATAAAAACATATTACTGAAG